ATTCCTCGAAACTGTCAAAGATAGCAGTGGACGCGAGCAAACACGCCACCGGAGCTGTATTAATGCAACCCGATGACCAAGGACAATGGCACCCGTGCGCATTTTTCTCGAAAACCCTATCCCCCACAGAGAAAAACTACCAGATCTACGACAAGGAACTTTTAGCGGTAATGAGAGCTCTGAAGGAGTGGAAACACCTGCTTTTAGGAAGCCCACACACGATCCAAATTCTAACGGATCACAAGAACCTGACATACTGGCAGGAGGCCAGGAAACTCACACCACGACAACAAAGGTGGCAGCTGGAACTGTCACAATACAATTACACATTAGAGCACGTACCTGGAACCCACATGGTGGTACCTGACGCACTCTCGAGATGACCCAACTTGTACATCGATAACACGGACGACAACGACGACACCCCAATGATACCAGCGTCGGCGTTTCTGTATCACACGCGAACAATAAAAGACACAATAGAGCAAGCAATACTCACCAACAACAACTACCCTGGAAGAACAAAAAAGGAAGATTGGCACAAAACAGAAGGACAGTTCTTCTATCAGAACAAACTACTGATTGACACTGCAGAAGAACAGAGGATGATCATCAAAAATCACCACAACTCGCTAACCGCAGGACACCCAGGAAGACTAAAAACCTATCAACTGGTAAAAAAGTCCTATTGGTGGCCAGGAATGATGAAACAGGTAGAGGAATATGTGAAAGGATGCGCAACTTGCCAGCAAGCCAAAGTAAACACACATCCAACCATGGTACCGTTGATCCCGAATCAAACACCAAAGACCACCGAACCGATGAAGTATCTCTCGGTGGATTTCATTACAGACTTACCCAAGTCTATAGGGTATGACAGTATAATGGTCGTGGTAGACCAAGGACTTAGTAAGGGGGTAATCCTCTCACCTTGCCACAAAACCATCGACGCACTCGAAACTGCACAAATCTTCCATGACTCTGTCTTCAAACGGTTTGGACTACACGACAAAATCATATCCGACAGAGGCCCACAGTTCGCCTCTGAAGTATCAAAAGAACTCCACAAACTCCTGAACATCGAAACTGCACTCTCCACGGCATACCATCCACAGACTGACGGACAAACAGAACGATCCAATCAAGAGCTAGAGATCTACCTCCCCATCTTTTGCCAGAATCAACCACACAGTTGGGCAAAGTACCTTATGATGGCCGAATTCTGCCACAACCAACGGCCACACTCCACGAATAACCAATCACCATTCTACCTCCTCATGGGATACGAACCCCGAGGAATCCCGACTAAACACTGATCCACAAACATCCCGTCAGTAGAAAGACGATTATCCGAACTGCTTAAGGCAAGAGAGAACGCTCTAAAAGCACACGAACTAGCGAGAAGCAAGATGATGAAACGAACGAACGGAAAGTTCACCAGATTCTCAGAAGGACAAAAGGTGTGGTTAGAAAACACCAACCTACGGGAAAAAGCCACCAAATACAAGAAGTTCAACATGAAACACATCAGACCTTTCCGCATCCAAGAAAAGATCTCTCCGGTAAACTACCGATTATCGTTACCTCCCCATTGGAGGATACACAACGTTTTCCACGCATCCCTTCTAACCCCGTATACCAAAACCAACACTCACGGACCGAACTTTATCCGACCACCATCTGACCTTATCAACAAAGAAGAAGAATATGAAGTAGAAAGTATTCTTAGACACAAACCCTGGAAACGCGGACGCCATTACCTGATCAAATGGTGCCATTACCCTTATTCCAAAAACTCATGGGAACCAGAAGAACACTTGACCAATACTGCAGAGATACTGGAAGCCTATAAGAGAGACCACAAACTGCGTTGAAGAGACAACCACCCCCACCACCACCAATCTTCTGTCTCTCAAAACTCACAACATGTCTACTTCTCACTCTACCGGCTTCCCAATCACCACCTACTCTGTACCCGGCGAAGCCAACATGCTAGCCGACGAACGAGTGGCCTTTGCCCAAGGGCAACGACACAACCAGGCTGACGTCTCTGACGCCATAGAATTAATGTCAGCCAAAAACACCCACGTCTATCTATTTCGTGAAACAGAAAAACGCTATCCCAATGCGTACCACGCTCTTTCTTCACTATACACTTTCCTTAACATAGACCTCGTGGCTGATGAACTCCTGAAAGCCATAGACTCACTGCATTTGTTGGAAAGCGAGCATTCGCGGCACAACAATCAGGACTCGAGTATCTGTCGGGTACTCCGGATGGAAAAGTTAGTTTTGGAATCTTTGGGACGACGCTTGAGGATGAGCTCCTTGAGTGGGCAGACGGACGCGGCAAAGGCATATTTGGAATTAGGCGGGAAGATCTTGTTAACCGAGGCGCGCACGTGGATAGAGCAAGACGGCTATACGAGTACTCCTCCACCCGGTTTGTCCCGCCGGTCCCCGTTATACCCAGATCAGATCAGTGTTACCCCAGAGCTCACCTACCCCACCGTCACTCCACAACCTCCGCCCACCCAGTTAGCGGAAAAATACATTCCCACCGTCCCAACCAGCCCAACCTCACAAGGGTCGGACCCCTCCAGTCCCCGTTCCATTGGGTCGAACCCAGAACCACTACCACCGCAGTCACCTCCGCCTCGACCAATACCAAACGCCCAAACCCGTTGCCTGACAAACCAACGAGGAGCCCGACTGGGCCAACAAGAAGTGATACTCCAGATCCCCGCCGTCAGAACTCCATCAAATCGGCGATCTCGTACGTCAAAGAGTCCGAAAGACAGTCAGCCTGGCGTAACGCGCAGGCCTGAGGCCAGTTCCCCCTCCAATCCAATCAACATAGATGACGCCAACATGATCGACCAATTGTACGCGGGAACGTACAACCTGGGGGATGACGATCCCCCCACTCCCAAATCCGATACCTCGTCCAATACCCGACGAAAGTACCACCAAGGCATTCGCCACAACGCTCCTTACTGTCAAAACTGCGGTTGGAGTGATCACCGTACATATTACTGCGAAGCCTATTACTGCCCCGACTGCGATAGACGCGCACCAGGGCATAGTTTCAATTGGTGCCCTATTTGTAGGGAAAACAAAGATAGGATTCTGATGGAGGGATTACATGGAGACGTCAGCTATGACGACAGATACAACATGGATGGCGAGGGTACCAAATTTTGGTGAAATTCGAAGCAAGTAAGGGGGTAATGTTACGATTGTCTACCTTTATTACGGACTACTCATTTCTCTTTACTCATCGGTTATACCATCGGACCGATGACTCACATCCTTCACATATACTTCCGCTCCTCTCGCACTTCTCTTACTTTGTATAGTACTCAGTCCTCAACGGACGGACCTACCCTAGATAGGACGTAACTCCTATCGCCGACTTACTTCTCTATAAATACGCTTGTAACAGTAGTAGTATTCTCCAATGTGATTCTACGCAGTTTACGCTTACAAAGCTAGACTCCTAAGATCAGACTTCCATACGAAAGAAGACCAACAACCGTTGGAATCCCTTTATTCAGAACTACATCCTCAAACTTGTCTTCGGATAAGTCTCTTTGAACAAACCCGACAAACCCTCAGACTTTGTTAAGCACTTTGTGCGTAACAAGTCCATTCTTGAGAAGTGATGCCTTCCACAGGTTGGAGAGTGTGTCAATATCACCAGCTGACATCTGTGTTTTCTTATATAGAAACTTGGAGGTTTTGAATTCAATGTGGTCACAATATGGGGTTTAGTCAGCTGGGGATGGACATTGAGGAGAGATGGGTGCAGCTGCAGGAGTTATATCATGACCAAATTTGTTGCATGGCCTGCCTGTAGTAGATATCAGTTATGTGATCCTTACTACGCAATAAATCAGAATACACACCATTCAACAAAGGGTGGTATTCAACTTCATGGCCCATCCTCATCTTGTGCTTGTGGTCAGTTGCCTTGGCCTTGGTCTGCAATGATGGGCTCAGATTCGGTAAAATGTGGACGGAAAGTGTGTAGGTGCTGTGTGAGACCCAAAACCAATATTTACATCTGAGAGCTTTGCAGGAAAGAGGCCGGGAGTGTTGATATCAACGACTGGGCTGAGTTCTTGGTGCTATAGCAGGATCCATTTCTTGTGTCCAAATAGTAAGCCTTGAGGGAAAGTTAGTGAGGAAATAATATTGTGTGACTATAGCATAGCATTTAGCCTAATGTTGAAAAAAACAATGCCCTGTTTAATACTAGTACTCACCTCAATTCAGCAGCCCCAAGCTACATCTTCACTCTTGTCAACATCCCTATCACAATAACACAATGAGTCACCCAGTAACCTGTGCTAAAATGCTAACCAGCGCCCTGGTCTAATTCTGCTTGACACACAAACAGAAAAGCAAACTCAGGCTCAGATGGCTGAAGCATTGGCAAAAAAGAAACTTACTGCTGAGGAGACAGACAGGGCCCTCAGGCTTGGCCTTGAGGCTATTGCAGCAATCAAAGATTCACAAGCAGCAGAGGATATTGACAACTCAATGTTGATACTCCCTCCTAATAAAACTATGTGAAACTCAGCCGCTGCCCAAGAGGCTATAGAAATGACTGTATTATTTACCTATGTGAAACTACAATGGATGTTAGTTTAAGGTGATCTCTAATAAATGTAATGTAACATACCTCAGCCGCTGCCCGAGAGGCTATAAAAATGACTGAGGTATTTTTATACTAAACCCCCTACTACTTATAGTCGGAGGTGCTACTCGCTACAGTATAATGACTCCTAGGAGTACAATTGTGCTCCTAGGAGAGCAATGGTGACTCCATGGAGTGGTGGCTAAACTCCATGGAGAACAATGGCTGCTTCAGCAGAGACCAAGTTTATCCGGTTTTGTCACCTCCCTCTAAGCACACCTCAGTGCATCCCAGCAGTACACACTCAAAGACTCCTCCCCCATCTCAACCAAAATGTTGCCTAATCAACCAAGAAAGCATGCAGCATGGACCCAATAGTGAGGAAGAAAGTTTGTCCAGCAATTATGGCGTGGAGGTGGATGAAACTGGATCCCAGCCTACTATTGAAGATATAGGATCCCAGTCTGTTGAAGACTTGAGATCTCAACCATATCTGAATTTTGATGCAGATTTCAACATAGAAGTCAGTGCAGGCTCACCAGAAGTCAATTCTGCACTTCCCACAGGCAGTCAAGCTATCTGTGAGCCAATCAACAAAAACCAGCCGCTGCAGCCAGTGCAGAAGGAAAAAAATAGGGCAAGGGCCCTGATCATTGAGTCCAGTAATGAAGAAAGGGAGAAACCAAAGAAGAGGAAAAGAAACCATAGCAGGGAGGCTGTCAAGGCGCTAAGAAAGCAGCCAACTGCCTCAAACAGTCCTGTGGTGGGAAATTGTACGGCTAAATCTGGTGTTTCTGATGGCAAGCAGAAGCCGCGTGATAGATCTGTCACCTTATTCAGACCTTTATCAAACTATACTGACACATTTTTTACTCCCATCACCCCACCGCTATCATGCTCTTGCCATTAACTAAAATAACACTATTTAACCACAGCATCTCATCCACCACTGCTACCATCAGAGACTTGGAGGCCCCAAAACTCAAGGATCTAGCCAACAACTGGGCTTCAAAGGTCGCTATCAGTGCAAGAACAATTAATGGAGCAAGTTTAAACTCTACTGGCAGAGGATCATCTCAGGCTGCCAGTTGTGCTTTTATCTTATCAAAAATCTCAAGCACTCAAACAATGCAAACATTGGTCACATCTAAGTCACTAGGTTCAAAACAGCCACAACTGCAAGAAAATAACACTATATACCATGATAGCAGTTTTAAGGTCAAGGATGAAAGTGAAGAATGTGCAGCAATGACTGAGAAGCAAAGAACAGATAATTTGGTATGTCTCCACTTACATATTCATGGTTAATTTGACCATCACATATAATTTTTGTGGGGGATGATCAAAATTGAAGAAAATACCCTTACCACTAAGCCCACCAAGGCAAAAAACAGCAATTTGCCCCAAGGATGTCTTCAAGGAAATAGGTGGCACTCTGTTTTTGTACCAACATACAAGAAATTGTTGGGAACAATCAAGAATCCCTGGATGGCAAGTGATCACAAGTCCTTGGAAGCTATCCAGGCTACCTGAAATACTGTATATCCAGATATTAAGTACAAGGTCACTCTGAATGATGCTGTCTGCCGTGTAGTAAGCTCTTTATTTTTTATTATAGCACTTACATTCTCTCAATGAAAATATAGCTTGGCCAACGTGTATACAAATGGCATGCAAATTTTGGTGCCACATCATATACAATGGTGGACCAGCTCTTTGAGTCTGAGCCAGATTTCAGCACCTATAAAACACATCAAGAATTCTCAAAATCAATGGTTAGCAATCTTGCATTTTTATATGCAAATCTTGGCAACAAAAAATCTGTGAGTTTTACACTGGTGTAATAATTGCTATCCATGCGCTAATCTAAACAAATTTACAAGGATTATCGGGGCGTATTTTGATCACCATTTATCTTACAGACATTTACATCCTATTTCAACTCAATCAATGGTGCTATCAATGTTGAGGCCCTTTGCACACCTGGTACACATGAACAATCCTCAGACACAGGAAAATTCTCACCTCTAGGCACCCTAGCAATGTTGGCCGCAGCTGTACATTTTTTGCTGCTGTTAAAATTCAAATTTTCTAACTGTTGTTCTAGGTTGAGCAAATTCTGACTTTGTGGGCAAATCACAAAGCTCATTAGGAGCCCAAGGTTCAATGCTCGGGCCAGGCAAAACTCATCAAAACTTATCTTAAGCCCATCCCAAAACTCAACAAGGTGATGGGCAAAGAAACCGGCAGCCATGGGAATTTCTCAGAAACTAACTGGGGTACAGTGACACATAACTATCATACCTGTATGAAGAAGCTCTAGCTGGGCACACTTGAAGATATTGTTGAACAAGCCCAGGTATATGTGATGTCAGAGGGCGCAGCCCGTGTGACCAACTCCACTGTGTGATATACTTGTATCTATAAAAGAAGGGCAGTGCAGCGCAAGAAGGTGGTGTTTGAACAAGAGGAAAGTGCCACATGGCACAGTGTGTGAAAACTATAGAAGAAAGTTAAAGAGGAGAATGAAAATTAAAGGTCCAAAAATTGTGTATCGTAACACTTATTTTGTTTTATCCGGTCTTTGTGGGAGTGAATCTCAGCATCAGTTTCAGCCAAAAAAGAAACTTTAAGACACATCAAAGGCACTCAAAGAAAAATACACCTTTCCTGATGTTGTATGTAGAGTTGCTCCAATAAAAATAAATAATGTGGGTCTTGATATCCTCGCAACTTTGCAAGAGGCTTGGCTTGTTTGGGTATGTCAAATTTAGTACTTCCTCCAATCATGTCAGGTTTCCTTGTAGCTGCCAGGTAATCTCAATATGTTTTCCAAAATAGTATAGTTTCAAATGCTTCCTGTTTTTCTTTTTTATCTGGGCTCGTATGTTTTTTTATGCAATGTATATATAAGAATGACTGAGTTTTTGAGCCTCTCATACAAGTACAACACTACATCAAGTGCTTTGATATAGGAAACATTTGAATAACTAGGCATGGGGGTAACTAGCAACTATGGTGACTAGTTAACACTCTTTTGGGTGGTGCTGGATGACAACTTCCACTTACCTCTGTGAACAAGTACATCTTTTAATACTTTGATTTCTGTCAACACTGCCACTGGTTCACAGCACACACTGCATGTTTGTTTGTCAATATGGGTCAGTTTGTCAGTATGGCGCAGGAGGCCTTTGTGGTTGGCTGTTTGGTTGGCAAATTTCCTCCATCTAAATTTGTAGCAGAAGCCAGATGGAGGTGCAATACCTAGTATGACAGACTGGGTGGAGTTTGATAGTTAGCCTACAAAGTAACAAATCTAAGTAAAACTTAGCTGCTGCCTAAAAGGCCATAAAAATGACTTTATTATTTACCTAAGTGAAACTACAATAGATGTTAGTTTAAGGTGATCTCTAATAAATGTAATGTAACATACCTCAGCCGCTGCCTAAGAGGCTATAGAAATGACTGAGGTATTCCTATACTAAACCCCCTACTACTTATAGTTGGAGGTGCTACTCGCTACAGTATAATGACTCCTAGGAGAACAATGCCTGCTTTAGCAAAGACTGGGTTTATCCAATTTTATCACAAAAAATGATATTAGATATAATATTGCAATAATAACTATTTTACCTTTCATTTTGAGCTCAACTGTGAAGTACAAACACTCTCAACTAGTGGCTTGAAGGCTCTTGACAAGCCTTACATGCTCTGTGAGTTTGAGGTCCAAGATTCTCTTTGATGTGGCTGACAAATGACTGGGTAAAAGCACTTTCCACAGCCAATTATGGCACACTATGGCATGCTGGGCCTCCTTTTCCTAGGGAAGAGTTTCTTGGATATTATATCATAGCTGTTATAGCAGTATTTCTGGCATTCACTTTATTTTCCTTTTCTTTTTCTTTTGTTTTGGACTTTTACTTTTGAAAGTCACATGACTAATCATGTAATACATCACGTGCTATAACATCATACATTTACTTAATCAGTAGTGATATCATATAGAATACAATTGAACACCACACAATGTTTACCTTTATATATATTAATTGTACAGTAATAGGGATGCCAAAGAGGCTCCACCCAACAAGGCATGCATGGCGGAAAAATGGGACCAACCTTTCTACCAAAAGCTATTTGCTACTGGATTTGCCTGTTTAGTGATTAGCTATCAGTTATAAAGCCAAAATGTATCAACATACCATAACAAGTTCCTTCCAAACTGTTTCTCCTTTGTCAAGTATATCAAGACCTAGCTTATCATCACAATAAATGCCTGACAAGTTGGTGATAAGGTTCACTAAGTTGTATTCTGTACAAAGCTGTAAATTTTGAGGTTAGTATTCAGTGATTGATAGATTAGATAATGTACCCTGCTCCAGTTTAAACTGCAGGAAGTGGTGCTCTTTGCTGGCCCTTTGGTAAGAAGAGAAACTAAATGTAATACAACCTTAGGCCAGAACCTAGGATTGAAATTCAAACTGTCCCCACCCTCTGCACTGTTGGTGGTGATGAACTGGATAAGAGCCAATGTCTTTTCTTTAGTTAAAATGACATTGTTACTACTATTATCTTAGGTGCCTGTGCCATTGTAACCTTGGTAGATATGTCTTGAGCAGGCTAGAGGTCTTGATTCATCCTAGTAGAACATTGCAGTTGTTTTGCAAAAGAGACTAGGGCTAGGGTTGACAAAACCGGATAAACCCGATCTTTGCCAAAGTAGCCATTGTTCTCCATGGAGCGTAGCTACCACTCCATGGAGGAACCATTGTTCTCCTAGGAGCACAATTATACTCCTAGGAGTCATTATACTGTAGCGAGTAGCACCTCCAACTATAAGTAGTAGGGGGTTTAGTATAGGAATACCTCAGTCGTTTCTATAACCTCTTGGGCAGTGGCTGAGTTTCACTTAGTTTTATTAGGTTATGAGCCCTGGTGTGCAAAAGCTACACAGGAAATAATTTTTATTTGAAACGGCAACCTCGGAACCATGACCACAGCACGCGATACATCTACATGTCCAGTTCTCACTGGACCCAACAATTTTCAGATATGGAAACTCTGGATCATCTCAAAGCTACGTCGGGAAAAAGTTCTCCGGGTTGTTACTGGAGAGGAGCTTAAGCCCTCACCAGGAAAACCTACCTCCTCGGAAGATCCTGAGATCACCTGGATACTTATGGATGAGAAGGCACATGGAATCATCCAGGACCACATCTCTGATGCCCTTCTAATGAGGACTGGAGACCTCAACAGCTCCAAGGAGTTATTTGATAAACTTGTCTCACTCTATCAGACGTCCAACATTGCCTTGGCCTTCTATTCATTCCAGCAACTCACAAAATTGTCCTGAGATGGGACATCACCTATCCAAGACCACATTGCAAAAATCCGGACAATTGGTTCACACCTCTCTGGAATGAAACTAGGAGTTGATACCAAACTCATGGCCTTTTCTCTTCTCCAATCTCTCCCATGCACTCCTGAATGTCAAATATTTCAGTCACCGGTAATCAACACAATTGAAGAAAATAAACTTACCTTTGATGCAGTTGAGATCTGGATCAATGCAGAAGTTGCACGACAGTCAGGAAAGGCCCCTGGAGGTTCTGAATCAGCACTCAAATCCGAGGAGAAGTGGTGTGACTTCCACAAAGTCAAATCACACAACACCTTGGAGTGTCGAACACTTCAGTCAGCTGAAAAAGGTCAAAGGAAAAAGGGAAAGGAAAGACACAAGGATAAAGGAAAAGAGAAGGAGAAGGCAAATACAGCGGAGCAATCATCTGGATCTGACTCCGAGAAGGAACAGAGTCATATTGCATTGGAACATGTACATATTTCCAAGCTACTTGCTAAACGCATTCAAGCTTACCTTGTGTCAGAACCCAATAAGACCAAAACAACAATTGTTATTGACTCCGGAGCAACATCTCACATGGTCCCTCACCGCTCCTGGTTTGAGCCAGGAACATACCATGTTCTATCCTACAAGCAACTGTTGGCAAAAAAGACTACAATATTGCACTGTCAAATGTCTTACTTGTGCCAAACTTCATGTTAGCACTCGTCTCTGTCCACAAATTGTCCAAAACGGGGTTATCAACACTTTTTCCAGCAGGGTCAAATGCTTGTGAAGTTCGGAAAAAGGAGGAACTTATCCTCACTGCCTTACACAAGTGAGGATTTTACCACATCCAAGCAAAACCCAAAATCAACCCGGAGTCAGCTTTTGCAGCAGTAGATGTAAATTTATTGCACAGGAGAATGGGACACATTGGAATGGACCACTTGCAATGAATGGTTACAAAAGGACAGCTCCAGGACATAGACACCCTTACCGGAACCCCGGAGTTTTGTGAACCTTGTGCTTTAGGAAAGATGAAGAAATTACCTTTCAAGTCCACTGGAGGAAACCGAGCCAAGCGCCCCATACAAATTGTGCACACAGATGTTGGAGGACCAATCAAACCAACTTCCAGGGAGGGTTTTTGGTACTGGATTACCATTGTAGATGATTTCTCCAAATTTCCATGGATATATTTCCTAAAACATACAAGTGAAGCAGGAACAATACAAGCAATGGAAAGAAGATGTCCAAACATTCTTCCGGATTCATTTGGGAGAAGAAAACTTCACTCCACTGTACACAGAATTCCTCCAGAGTGATAAGGGAGGAGGATATACTGGCAATGCATTCAAAAATCAACTCCGAGGAGATGGTGTTATCCAAGAAACTACAGCTGCAGATACTCCAAAACAAAATAGCATTGCAGAATGCATGAATCAGACATTGGCTATATTAGCAACCACTATGCTCCATGATTCTAAGCTCCCAAAGTTATTTTGGGTAGATGCCATGCAAACAGCTGCATATATCACAGCACGCAGCCCAGCATCAGGACTCCATGGAAAGACCCCATATGAAATACTGTTTAAAAGGAGCGTTGATCCAACTTTGTTTCCCCCTTTCGGATGCCAAATATATGCCTTGATTCCAAAAGACAAAAGGCAAGGGAAGCTTTACTCCAAGGGGTGCAAAGCCATAATGATTGGCTACACACATGGAAAGCAAGCCTACAAACTCCTAGACACTGAAAAACGGACTGTGTTTTCCAGTCGGCATGTCATATTCAATGAATCTGGAAAGGTACAAAAGGATGACACTGCTCCCTGGAACACAGACACTAGCACAGATCAGTGGGAGGGACTCATTCCAGAGAATGCTCACTATCCAGACCAAAAAACATTGGAGGAGGATGATCCTGACCCTCGGATCCGAGATCCAAATGAATTGCAAATGGAACCACATCTCCAAGGAGATGTTTCAAAAGCAATGGAACCATATTAGCATGAAGATGTTCTGAGAGCAGTGGGGCAATACCTCCGTGGAGACGTTCCGAGAGCAGTGGGAGCACCTGATCAGCTAAGACACCCTCCACAACAGACTCTACAACCAAGACCTGAACACTGGCCATCTTCAGAACGGAAAGCCAAAGTAGAGTCAGTGGGAGGACAGCCCCTCAACATACAGCCAGCTGATGTGGAAAAAGTCCAAGTACAGCTAGACAGCTTGTCCATTGGATCGGCTTCTGGAAGGCATGCAACACCTCCAAGGAGTCATCCAACACCTCCAAGGAGTCATCCAATGCCTCTGAGGAGTGATTCAACACCTTCAGGAGTGAGTGGGGCAACAAATACACAAATGCGTCTACTCCCTGGAGTACTTGCAAAAGTTCCTAAAAGAGCAGTCATGCCTGCTGAAATCCTAGGAGTACACAGAAGCAGTCGCCAGACCCGTCCTACAGACAAAAACCGAGATTATCAAAGGACTCTAGATAAGGAACAGTCTCAAAAAGAGCAGCATGACAACTCCATGGAGAAACCTAACACTCCTGAGGTTTATGAAGAAATGTCTGATACAGAGGAGACATTCTTTGCTGGAATAGCAAGTACCGGTCCATCTAACACAGACCTTCCAAGGACACTAAAGGAAGCCTTATCACATCCGGATGGAGAATTATGGAAGTCTGCCTTGGAGGAGGAACTCCTAAGTCTCAATACTAATGCAGTATATGACACTGTTCCACTTCTGAAGGGAGTAAAACCCATCACATCAAAACCTGTGTTCTGGATCAAGTTTGATCAAAAATGGAAACATTGAGAGATACAAACTCCAGATTGTTGCATGAGGTTTTACTCAAAGGAAGGGGATTGATTACCAGGAGGTTTTTGCTCCGGTTGCAAACTTAGAGTCAATCCGAATTATTCTAGCCCTGGAAGCAAAGTACGAACTAGAACTTGATCAAATGTACGTATCCACAGCTTATCTCAATGGAGAACTTGAAGAAGAACTGTACATGCTTCCTCCAGGGGGTGTTCTTATCCAACCTGGATACTGCTGGAGATTAAAGAAATCCATCTACGGGTTAAAACAAGCTGGTCGTACATGGAACAAAACTTTTGATCCCAAGCTCCAGGAGCTCGGTTTCACAAGACCAAATGCAGAAACATGTCTCTATGTATTCCGGGACAACAAACAAATATGCTTTGTTGTTGTTTATGTAGATGACCTCTTCCTAGGAGCTTCATCCCGAAAATTGATGGATATCACAAAAGCCAAACTTGAATCCATATTCAAAATGTGGGACCTTGGAGAAGCAAAATACATCCTCGGAATAGAAATCCAACGTGATCGTTCAAACAAAACAATATCCCTATTGCAACGCCAATACATTGACACAGTCCTGGAGCATACTGGAATGAAAAACTGCAAACCAGTATGGACACCAATGGCACATGGATCAAAACTCCTTGCAAATGCTCCAGGGGAAGATATTGTGCAACACGAGATGCATATTGAAGGGCGTCAAGTGTCACACCTCTCAATTGTAGGCTCCCTCATGTATACCATGCTCGGAACCCGCCCAGACATTGCCTACATCATTGGAATACTAAGCAGGCATAGCTCAGCTCCAAGGAGCCATCACTGGGAAGCTGCAAAATGTGTCCTCCAATATCTGAAAGCAACCAGGGATATGGAACTACAATATGATGGCACAGATGTTTCCATGGACATGGATTTCTATGGATATTCAGATGCAGATTGGTCTGGAGACCCAGACACATCTTGATCAACATCAGGCTTTGTTTTTATCACCATCCCAGGAGCAATCTCATAGACAAGCAAAAGACAAAACATGGTAGCTTTATCCTCCACAGAGTCAGAGTACATTGGATTGAGCAATGCTGGACAACACCTTGTATGGCTTCGGACATTTTTTGAAGAAATTGGACATGCTCAAAATGGACCTACAACATTGCACTGTGACAATCAAGCAGCTATCATTCTTACACGAGATTCACAGTTCCGTGCTCGCACAAAACACATTCAACAGAAATATCATTTTATCCGAGATGACTTAGTATCAAAGGGAGAGGCAGTAATCAGATACGTTCCTACAGGAGATATGGTTGCAGACGTTCTCACTAAACCCCTCACTCATGAAAAATACTGGAAATTTTCTAAAGCTATGGGACTACGGTTGCACTCAAGTGGGAGTGACAAAACTGGATAAACCCGGTCTCTGCCAAAGCAGCCATTGTTCTCCATGGAGCATAGCCACCACTCCATGGAGTAACCATTGTTCTCCTATGGGCACAATTATACTCCTAGGAGTTATTATACTGTAGCAAGTAGCACCTCCGACTATAAGTAGTAGGGGGTTTAGTATAGGAATACCTCAGTCGTTCCTATAGCCTCTCGGGCAGCGGCTGAGGTATGTTACATTACATTTATTAGAGATCACCTTAAACTAACATCTATTGTAGTTTCACTTAGGTAAATAATAAAGTTGTTTCTATAGCCTCTCGGGCAGCGGCTGAGTTTCACTTAGTTTTATTAAGGGTTGGGCTGTAGGCCCTGCATTTTTTTGCTCTATATATGAGGTTGATGGAAGTATAATACCTACCCACTTATAGGCTCATAGAATAGATGCCTATCTATCTCTCTGACAGCATTCCAGTAGATTGTGGCTGGAAAAAAAAGGGAATTTCAGGAAAAACAGAGTTGCCTTACGAGCCCTAAGCCCTTTTGGGTTTAATTTATATTCAATGATTGCTGTTAATCTCGTACATGAATTTGAGTTAGGGGTGTGGAGATTGGTCTTTATTCACCTTCTCAGGATTTTAAATAGCACTGAAACTTATGCAACAGATTTATTAGATGCTCAGTAAGTTTTAATTGAAATTCTTTTCAGGTTAGGCTGATATTCACTAGTTATGAATAGGATCCTACCTCTGGACAGGATACAATCCAATGTTTTGCTCAAAATTCTTCTAAATTGAAGTCAGTGGCTGTGCACAACTTTGAGGATCTTTTACAGGTAATTGTCATCATCACAATTTTTGTGTGACTAATTTATATACTTTGTACAGTGTATTATTGCCATTTTCAAAGGTTTATTGCCTGAGCCCCACAATTCCAACATTTTTCAACTTTTATACTGCCTTGTTTATTGATGGTTTGCTGGATTAATATCTATGTGTATTCAACATTCTGTGTTAAGAATGGGGGATCAGGAGTTAAACATCTGATCTATGTTGTAAAATTAATTAATTAATTTTTGGGTGAAAACCCATCTGGGCTTTTTGATCCAAAACATGCCTTGAAAAATGTATTGAGTGAGCTGTATCCCAAACAATGCATGAAGTGAAACTTGAGACCTGTCTTGTAGGAGTATAATTATTTTACTAGAAATTGTGAACTATTGCACCAGTGGAAAAGTGTACCTTGTGAAAGGATCTAGAGATGACAAATCTTGGAGCAAGGTGCTAGAATGTTTGCATGGTCTTGTAAGTACAAAGTGAAAGCTTTACTTGACCACCTTCCATTGTTTTTACTACGTCAAACGGCACTCCTCAAAGCAAATATTCCAGTGTTCCACCTATGAGAACACTGTGATCCTTAAGTTTAGTGAGGTTTTTGGTGTTGAAAATTACAGAAAGACATTTTGTGAATTCTTTCTTGAATAGCAGGCGCAGGCCTTTGGCATGTCTCCAGGCAAATAGGTGGTCTGTGTTATCAGCAGTGTTTATGTGCAGGTGATTTCCTAACACTTGTTTGGGATCTGTGAGTCCCTGTCAATTAACCAGTTGTAACCATGTAATAAATACCAAGCATGTAGACCTGCAGCATAGTTAGCAAGAGACAATCTGGAGTATGATCCGTTGCAGCTGGCAATAAAAATGATAAGGAAAGTGGGAGATATTGGGCAGTGTTGCTCTTCTGGAATAGAATGCATGTCACAGTAAGTGTGAAATACTTTGAAGTATATATGAACCTGAGTAAGTGCTTAATATCTTACACCCTGCTATTGAAATAACAGCTTTGCCCCGCCAGCAACGTTCCTATACAACAACTACAGGCAGGCCTTGGATATTCTTGTGGGCAGACATGTGATGCTGCCTGCCACAATGCAGGACCTAGGTATCAAAGATGAAAGTGTCTTTGTTGAGTGGCTGAAAGAAGAAACAGGCTACCTGACCGGATTGCAAAAATAACTACAGGAAGAAACCCTCCAGACAGAATATTGGCAGAAGCTAATTGATCTACAGGCAAGCAAGTAAGTCTTTGTTTTGTGTTTTTCAAACTACTTACTGACAGTTTCTAGGCAGCGACTTGGCGCGGCCCTAGAATCTATCAACAAGGCTGGGTCCGAGTGCAATGTCGGAGAGGTGGGGAAATGCAAGCGCAAAATGGCTAGGTGATATGCCTTGGAAGACTACAATGGGTGTTTGAAGACTGTGCATAAGCTAGAAGTCTTGTTGGGTGTAGTGGATTTTTGGAAGCCAGAACAGTTGGAATGGTAGCACTCAGGAAGATTGGTAGTTATGCGCAAATATCAAAGGGCGGTCAACCAACTCAAGGAACTGGTTTGAGCTAACAAAGATGAACCGCTTGCAGACAGGTGAGCACTAGTATCCCTACCATTTATCTACTCACCTGTGCAACTTAGGATATGCTTTGCATAAGCATATCGGGAAAGCACTTCAATTGCACTCTGCAGCAATTTGAACAGTGTTTGAGCGCTACAATACTGCTGCTAGAGCAATGTTCCCTCCACATCCCACCCTTGAATGGAAACAGGTTGTTGAGTACACCTTCTTGCCGACTTTGATCTTCTGCGCGACGCCCAACAAGACATGTCTATGAAGCTTTTGGTGACACCAGCAGGCCAACTTGCAATGGATAGGTACTTCAAGCTACTTTGGGCCAAAGAGAAAATTCAATGGCTCAACATTGAAATTCAGCGTGTTGTCTCATATATACAGGATGAAGACATGTATCTACATCAATGCAAGGAACTAGTACGTACCTCCAGCCCCCCCCCTTGCATACCAAATTAGCCTTCATCAAATAGAAAGGGCCGCTTCAATGAACACCATCTATGTCACCTAACTGATATAGCATTACTACCGGGGTTTTCTGGTACAGTATCCACCTGTATTAGCATTTGGACTGGCCCTGGTGAGAGCACCATCAAACCTGCCCCCATCATTGCACCCTCCACATCTTTGGAATCAGCCTCTTTGCCTTTGCTGGTGATGCCTGGTGAGACACTCCAAATGGATCTGAGCAAGACAGAAGAGGATTTGGGGGAGGAGGAGGAGGAGGAGGAGGAGGACTCAATAGCACTGGCACGGACCTTATATAATGTCTTACACGTCTCTGCCGGTTCAACTCACGGGGACAAGGTGGATAAATAAACATCTTTATTTCCAGCTATATTGACATGGCAATAGTATTTTTAACCCAACTGAGAGGGTGTGAGGTAGAGTGCTGTGTGATGCAGCAAGGGAACGTGTCGCGTTGTTGAGTATGATGGTGTTGCACGTCACTTATGGTGACGTGTACACCATTGGGTATAACCATAAGCAACCACCAGATTACAGGACAGAAAGCTGCAGCCGCCCCTCTGTCCAGGCCCATTTTTGTGCCCAAGTCCCTCAAATTATAGCTGAGATACAGCAGAAGGCAGGGAAACAGTGTTTTTGGGCCTAATTGGGCCTGCATCAGACATGCAATGTCAACACTAAGAAGCCGGCCTATGTGGGAATCACAGGCAAAGTAAAGTGAGTGTTCAATTGAGAACTTCTGGGAAGTGTCTAGCCACTTGCTAAGAGCTAACAGGGACAGAACTAGAGTCCAGTATGAGTAACTATATTATCAGACAGTACAGAATGTGTACAGTACCTAGAGTCCAGTATGAGTAACTAAAGAATAGGAATACTGGACTCTGCAATACTAGTCCGAAGTTTTGTAAACAAAGGTAAACAAATCAGCCACAAAGGCAAAATTATAGAATGCTCAGTGAATACTGAACAATATAGCAAAAAGAATAAAGAGGAAAGTGATTTAGAAAGAAGGGAAAATAGATAGCACAACCAGGTGCAAAATCACCAAAACTAACAGTGAGTGCCAAAGTGGGTTCTGGAAGTGTCTATTGTAACAGAGGGCAGCTCCACCCATCTCCTCCCCACCACGCATCCCCTTTTCCTCCGCCTTAGACATATTCTATGTCCCAGGAGTCAAGGAGGCCTCCCAGGGTGTCCTGTAGAGAACCTGGGGAGATAGATGTGAATGTAAACTATCCTGGCACCAAGTAGATCACAAGGATAAGGGTGTTACGATAACACAATTTCCGGACATTTCCTTTCTTTTTATTCTCCGCTTCAACTCTATACTTTAAGTGCCACGCGGCATTTCCCCTTTCCCGTGCCGCGTTGCCTTTCTTTTATTTTTAGATTCAACTCTCTCACACAGTGGAGTTGGCCATACGGGCTAGGCCCTATGACATCATCAGCCACTGCCTTCATCAACTGTATAGTACACATGTTCAAACAAACCTGTAGTAGTATATATACCCCAATAGATCCAGGAGACTCCTTAGCGAGTCCTCCTGTTGTATACCAACTAACTCACTGCAGCCTAAGGGGTAACCACTCCCCAACTTCATCCTCCTTCTAGTGTGTTCTGTGTGCGCCGGAGTAATTCACTCTTGGTTGTTACAAAGGGATGCCATCCCTTCTCAAAAAAGGGGGGTGTTGGATGCTGTGGAAAGGCTGCCTGTGAGGGGTACTTATATAATACTGTACAGTACCTACATACCTAGCTACATGTGTGATTAGGTAAGATCATCTGATCTTACCTACACAAACATCATACCTCACAGTGAAGAATAGACATACTTGGTCAAATCATTGTAGTGTGATAAGTGTGAGTGAGTATCAATAAATACATAATATTTACAGCTTTTTGAGTCCCTCAAAAAGTCTATTTTTGTCAGGACCGTGATCTTTCAGAGAATCGGAGTCTTGAAGTACAGAGATAGAGAGTAACAGAGTACGAGGTTGTGAGTTGGCTTAGTTCGTGCACTAGGCCCTTCTGCAGACCTTGGTCCCTAACTTGTTGGAATGAACGGAGGAGAATAGAGGATAAAAAGGGAGTAGAGTAAAGGCCCTTCAGAGAAGGACCAGAAAAACTTAGAAAGGGACTTGTAAAAAGGTGAGGGAATCTAGTTGATATTTGAACTGCAGAAACGGAGTACAGGAGCTACAACTTATATGCTGTTAGAGGAGTAGGAGCTCATAAGGAGTAACTTGTAATGTAGGTATGGAATTTCATGCAGACAATTATCTAGAAAAAGAGAAACATACGTGCAAGGAGTGTGTCATAATGTCTAAACTACAGAGTCCATGAGGAGTACAAGAATGTGCGTAGGGAAGCATATGGCGGACTAAAAGTCTGGTACAGGAGTATTGGAATGGGAGTCCGGGGTACCATGTGGGGGTGGGCCACAGGGTCATACTGACCGGCAGGCCATGAGGAGCGTAATCCCAAGAATACCAAAGATGTTATGAGAACACAATTTACTGAAATATTTGCCATTCAGGAGTGCATGGGAGAGATCGGAGAAGAGCAAAGGCCATGAGTTTGGTATCAACTCCTAGTTTCATTCCGGAGAGTGGTGAATCAATTGTCAGGACTCACTCCCACAAGATGATATATTACCTCATTGTTTTCTCCCCATTTCACTCTGGCTAGATAAAGGCAATGTAACCAAAAGGGTGCAAAAACACCCTATTATAATTTGACCTCTTTTTCTGCCACGGTTGGTACAAAACACTTCTGGAATTGGCGGTGGTGCCCTTATTGGCTATATGCCTGTGATGCGTTTCATTTCTCAGATCCTTATTCTAACCATTTTTTATTTCATTAGCCTCAAGATCCTAGAGATCCATCCGACCGCAACACTGCTGAAACTGTTCAATGCGCCTGTTTCAAGCAAGAGGTTTATCACAAGGTGTTTGAGGTGGTTTTTGGGCCGCTACAAGATCATGGACGTCATGGTGAAGCAATGTCATGTGGTGACAATATTGACAGAATAATTCACACAGGCATACCCATCAAGTGTGTTGATGGTGAGGAGGATTGTGCTATTACAACCACCCGTGCAGCTCTGGCCAACTATCCTTGTCCGGCTTGCTTGGTTCACCGCTGCGGCTTACACAACATTCATCAAAAATTTGAACCACGATCAACCGAGACTATGCAGCAGTTATATATTGATTCTATCCAAGCACCAACAAAAACTGAAGCAAAGCGGATCTTACAAGAGCATGGGTTACATGCTACCAAGGTCTGTTAACACCCTTTTTAATAATTTATCACCCAAATCATATGAGCTCTTTTGTGCAGACCTTTTTTTGGTCCATGGCCTTCTCTGATCCTTACAAATCCATATCTTACGACAAGCTCCATTCCATTTTACAATGTAACCCATATTTTAACCAGGAAAAACAATATGATTGTGTTCTCATTAATACGGACACACCATTCCCCATACCGGCTTGGCTCGTTGGGCTGTTTTGATGCTTTCTGGATTCTGGGCCTTGCAATATAGCTCTTGTGAAGACATTCAAAATCTGCAATGGAAAGTTCAAAACAAAATGGAGGGGTGCCTGCCTGTATGATGAGGGAGAAAGCAAGCTCGTAAACCCACAATATTTTATTTGGGGAGCCCATATGATAAGGGTGTTTGATCTCAAAGAAGGCCGTTTTTTCTTGAACAACACACTAGACACTGATATTTTTTTACGATTCAGCAATTGACTGTTGTCATTCTCTTCTGCTTTCAATTCTACAATTACATCATATATGCCACCCGATTGACAGTGAACTAATATGTTCTCAGCCTGACATATCTAATTGTAACTCATCATTTAATAAGGCCTAACATTCCCTCTCCAGATTTGACGCAAATATAATCTGGTCTTGATAAGGTTTTATCAGTCCCTTAACTCAAGCTGATCAGATCATAAGGTTGAATCAGCTTGCGTAAGGCCTGATCAGCTTTGATATTTTTTTCTGACATTCTGGCAGAACATATCTTATCCAAGTCCTAGAGATGGCAGTGGCATCAGAAAACCTAGGAAGTTTCCACAGCGTCATATAACACAGATGTAACTGAAGCGAAGAGTAAAATATGAATAGTTTTGCTTACTATGACTGTGATGCAATACAATCGCAGATCGAAAGAAATTTTTCCAAAAACCAAAATTGTTTAGGGCCCGTTCCCACGCTCCAAGGGAGACACTGGTGCAGCGGTAGTATCATAAATATTACAATCACAATTCTTCATACAAGTACATACTTCAGATAATAGATTTAGCATTTTATTTACAGATTGGGGAGCCACCCCCTTTCCTTTATTGCTCATGTAACACCCCGGAGCAGGGGCCACCTTGTTGTGGTTTACTTCATCATTAATAGGAGCGAAGGCACCCAAGTGACCTAAGCTCCGAACTCTTTTCCCTGGGCCTTCATCTCAGCAACTTGCTGGTTGTAGAAGAAGGCCCAGATTTTGTTGTACCGGCCAGAGTATTGAGCCAATTGTCCGGCTTCTCCGTTTCTAATTTGCACACCTGGTGCCCTTGGTTATTTTTTTGTTGGGTGGCCTGCACCACATTTCTACAGTCTCAAAACATGTGTCCCTCTTGGCCACAGTTGTAACAGTTGCCCTTGAATCTGCGCATCTGTCCGCCTTGGACCACACCAATATCCATAGGAGCACCCTGTCCTGGCTGCAGCCTAAACAGCGTGAGCCCGTGGGAGTGATTATGATTTTGGTTTGATAACCCAGGGCATCTCTGGGAATAGTTGTTTTTAGTGGTGGACCCACCACCAAGTTGCATTTTGTAGAGCTCCATGGCTCTATCAATGTTGCGAACCTCTTCTGCCACTTCTGAGAGGTTCTCATTTCTCATATCTTGCAGATAGAGCTGTTGTGCAATGTGGGGGTTCACATTGCTTTCTAGCAGCTCCACTGCATGTTCATTACCTAGACCCCCTTGGATAGAGAGGGCCAGAAACTGGGTTACATAATCATCTGTCCTCATGTTTCCTTGATTGAAGGAAAAGATTTGCTGGTGTGCCCAGTCACGTTCAGCTTGGGGTTTGAAATATTTCTCAATCTCCCCCTTGAGATTGTCCCAGGTAGGCCAGTGATTGGCAGTGTAGCACTCCTGGAGTTGTACTTGGGCGTATCAAACTGCCACAGGTCCTTTTAGTCTTGATAGCACAGCTGTTGCTATCTCAAAGTCATTGGTAAATGTGTCACAGCCTTGATCCACCACTCAGTGAATTTAGCCTGGTTTTCTTTGAAAGCGCCGGGGTCAGCGATGATCTTGACTTTCTTATTGAATGTTTGTTCAACCAATTCAGGGGGCTGCATGGTTAATGTCAAAATCTGTGCATGCATATTGTGCAACAGAGTGTGGACATTGGGTTGTTGTTGCAACGACATGTCAACTTGTTCTCTTTGTAAATGTAAAAAAATGTAACTGGGGGACCCCACTTGCTATTTGTTGATCTACATTAGGAAAACATGATTTAGATATAAATGTAACAAAAGCAAAAATATCCCTTATATCTATAAGTGTGATTTTTGCACAGTCCCTTACTCTAAACTGCATAAAGATCAATAAATATCATTTTTATTGATATTTACACAGTTTAGAGTATTGATATATCATCAAAAGTGTTTTATAGCATAGTCGTTAAAACACAAATGACCTTGCACTTTTTCACTATAATTTACTCTAAATGCAATTATATCGATCCATACTCAGTATATATCCAAAAAAAAGCACTAAAAAAGCAAATCATATTGATTCTAAACATTTAAAATGCTGCAGCACTATTGTAATATTTGTAATTATGATTTGGATGCTTTTTCTGCTTCCTCTAAAGCATCAAAATCAAACATAAGCTTAGATACATCAGATTACCCCACTGTTATACAATCATTCCTACAAAAATACTTGAGGTTAAAAAAAAGCTTTGAATGATAATGAATTTGTAGTAAGCTCTTACCAAACATATTCATCAATCTCATCAAATACAGCTGCCAAGTATGTAGGAGAACATTTCTGAAATATTTCCAACAACATCATATAATGATGATTCCACCTTGTAAAAGTATAATTAGTATAGATTTATGGTGATTAAGGTGATGTACCTAGCAGAAAATGCTGTTTCAGGGAATTCTATTGTAGTGTTGTTAATAGCACCTAGTAGAGCACATTCAATCTGGTAAATAAATTTGATCATCAGTTTTATTTAAATAAAGATATAAACACTTACAGAGCATGCTACTAGAGCCAAAGTAGGGAGATTGTGTAGATATGGATTATTTTTTTAACCATACTTTCTACCTTTGCCTTTGGGACCCCACTATTGTGCTTGAAAAAGAATTTTGATGATATCATTTTTCCAAGGTTGGCTTGTGTCAGATGTCTTCTCCTGTATATTTGCAGCTAGTATAAGTATAACAATAAAGCTTTAAAATAACTCACCTTTAAATCTATGGTGTTATTGATAAAAGCTCCTGAGTTTATGATTCAATAGATTGTATCACTTAGTTTGTCCTTGTGAATGTTTTTGATGCCATACATAGGGGGTACACTGATTCTAGCTTTGGAAATATGTTCCCCTCTAACCTGTGTAGAACCTTTCCACATTTGTATTTACAGTGATAATCGGTATGGGTATATATGAAGGGGTTTTAACTCACATATTGTAGTAGTTGAGACTTGAGGACCTGGTTGTCTTGTATCTCCTTCATTTTGTCCATTAGGCCACTGTTATTCTCTGCTGCTGTGGCTTTAACCAACAAATCCCAGCATATTGAATGACAACTGAGGGGGTTTGGAAATCCTTTTTCTGTGACTGTAAAAAGCCTCATAGCTTTGTGAGCCAGGCTTGCAAGGCATTTGTTGATAGGGCAGGCCATAGAATGAAGAAGCTTTGGTTTTGCAGTGGAAGATTTTGGAAGAGAAATGATGCTGGGGCTGCATGACATAGTAGATGTAGATGTAGAAACAGTGGGACAATCTGTTCCTCTTACAACCTGTAGGCAAGTAAATAAATGTTCTCAAGGCAACAACAGTCTTACCTCATTATCATCCACAACTCTTGTGGGGAACTGTCCTCCTCCTCTTCCTCCTCCTCCTCATTATCATCTGATAGAGGCTATAAAGGAGATACTACAGAATTATCTTGATTATCACTAGATATTTCTGCAGGACCCATAATATTATCTATCATATTCTTGTTATCATCAGCATTGTCATTATCATCAGCAACATCCTCATTATCATTGTTGTCATTATCATCACCATTCAGACATATTTTCTTGCCATGTAAGTCATCTCCTTCAGAATCTTCTTCATCAGCCAACATTGCTGCTACTCTCTTACGCATAGCTGAAAATAGGTATTCAGTTTTTGTGCCCTTAAGAGTAAGATCACATACCAGATTTCTCTGCCTCAGCTTCTGAGGCTAATGCAGCCTTTCTTCTTGCTAGAAGAGCCCCGGGCAGGATTCCATCTTCTTTGCTGGGTGCTGTGGCATTAGGTCTTGCAAAAGTAGTCTAAAAATTGTAAATAATAAGGTATTGGTGTAGAACAAATAAGAAAAACCTTTTTCTTTTGATGTAGCTGGGGCTGTCTAGGCTGTCTAGGCTGGGTTGAAGGAGGTGGTGATGGAGAAGATGCTGTCACTAGATCATTTGCTAAACCTCTGCCCCTAGTCCCGGGAACAGTAGATTGTTTGGACCATGTAACTCTAGGCATTGAAGTCCTCAAAAAAAAACTAGCAAAAATGGCAAGACCTAAATGTGTCTTCAGCAGAATAGTAATTCAGAATAAATAAGCAATAACAAACCATACTGGGACCCACAAAATGACACATTACCTGCGTCCCCTCTATCCCTTCTAAAACCTGTAAGTCAAAACAAGCAACCCAAATAAACTAATATTAAGTTTTAAGCTACATCCACTTAAAGAATGCATTCCCCTCTCAGCCATTTCTATTTTCTACCCAATTCCTCAACTGACCATCTGTGTATAAGACAAATGAGGCTCTCTCACCCTGATAATCTAAATTAAAGTGTGTTGACTCCTTAGATCTGAAAATGGCAAAGTCTCCACTCTTCAGTTCAAGAATAAATCCCTGCTTATGTAACATAAGAGCACCCTCTGTAAAATCTCCCAGTGGAAGGACAAGGCAAAGAATGTGATCCTTACCATCCCTATGAGCGGTGGTGCTCACATTAATATTAATAACAAGAGATAAAAAAGGAGTGACTGGAGATCCTGGTTTTCCAGGAAGTGTACCAACTATCTTGGCTAGCATAGAGTATTCATCTGGTAGGCAGAATTCCATCTAGGAAACACATACATCAGAGAAATTTAGGCATGAAACAAATAGCAGAAATCTTACAACATCAGAAATCCATTGGAAAACATCTGCAAAAGCATCCTGCAAGTTCAAATAAAGCTGCTCATTGTCTGAGCCCTCCTTTGACAAATAAGGGATCATCTGGGTTTCGTTAGTGACGTCTAATTCATGTGGGTGTGCATCAATAGGTGCCCCACAACCCTTGATCAATGTTTTTATGTGAGTGATATAGAGAGAAATGGGGGGGGGGGGGGAATATACCTGAGTCCCATATCTGTTCCACCAGGAGAAGTGGAGACATTTGAAAGGTTTGTCACTACCCAGAACACTGGAGAATACTGGCAACCCATCAAAGCTAGCCTTGAGGTGGGCCACTAGAGTTGTCTTCATATGCCTAGGCATTGAATGGCATATGAATGCCATCAATGTGCCATCTTCATTTTGTATATTGATTGCTGGAGGAATAGATGACATGGGAATGTATATATAAACTCCATCCCTTTTGCATCCATTAGGATAAAATGTAGATAGCTGTATATCAAGTATCAGATGATAAAGGCACATAGGAAAGTGACTGGAGCTTACCTTGACAGACAAATCTTGCAAATCTGTGATGTGAAGATGGAAGGGTATCAGCAAGAAGTGACAATGAAGAAGAAATAAATTACACACAGCGGGAGGAAGAGTCACAGGATCCAACTGGCTTCTATATGGATGTTGCCTCAGATGGTGAAAGTCCTACCCAAGGCAGTGTGGTTGTTATTGATTTCAGTGAGGAGGAACAGCTTGGTAGTGGAAAGAAGAAGAAGTTAGTAGCAGCAAGAGAGTTGGTTTAGGTTTTCTGCAAGCATACTACTTCTGATGGCAGTAAATAGTCCCTTAAGGCAACTTGTCATCATGATGGGAAAAAACTACTGCCGCATGCCAGGTATGTTGATGGTTCTATTATTGATCTACATCTTTTATTATTATTATTACATCCAATATGATGCTTGTGTTAACTCAATCCACTCTGTTGTATCATGAATTTAGGTTATCAATGCTCAACAAAGACTCAGAATTACAAGATGGTTTCTGCCACTACATTAAATCATAGGCTACTGATGTTAAGGTTGATATAACAAATCCGAAGAAGACAGTAAAAGGCCTTGCTCTAGCAGGTACTCCCAGTCAGGTATCCACACCTTTTAACAGATGTTCTTGTTCCAGCATTGCAAATTCTCAAGCATGAACTACTTCAACTGCTCTCACAACTGCATCAGCCCCTGCCACAACCACTCAAAGGAAGGCAAACAAAGATCATGAGGGAATTTATATGTATAAAGCTGGATGTTTAACAGATGAGCTGGACATAGGAGAGCATGAAAACCTAGTTGGGAAAAAGCGACCATTGGACTCTGTTTTAGTAAGTTGGGTTAATTTTTATATTGAATTTGCAAATCTCTCTGCCAGAGCGGTGTATGAGTTATAACTTTTTTGTATCTATTTTCAGAGTCTTGTGAAAGTTGAAGAGGGATATGCGCCAATCACAAAACATATTAAGTCTGTAAACTCAGCTGGAAAGACCAAGAATTGTGACTTGCCTGATGGATGCCTCCAGGGTGGCTATTGGCGCTCAGTTTTTGTCCCTACTTTTTCCAAGTGGCTGGGCACGTAGAAAACCCATGGAACATAAGCAATCCAATGTAACAACCAAGAGTTAGTTACTCTGGCGCACACAGGAACACACTATAAAGGTAGTGAATGGGGAGTGGTTACCCCTTAGGCTGCAGAGAGTTTGTTGGTATACAACAGGAGGACTCGCTGAGTCCCTCCCCATGTATTGCTCCAGTATATATACTAAAATACATGAGGTACTGTACAGTTGTAAATAAAGTTTAAAGTCCGATGTCTAGCATGTGACTATGAAAAGTCCGAAATGTAAAGTAAATTCAATGGTCACATGATCAGTCATGTGACTTGGAAAGTGAGGGGTAAGAGTACAAAAGTGGAGTGTAAGTAGGTGCTGGTATGTCAATTGTAACATCCAAAGGCCTTAGATGCAATTCAAGCAACATGGGATGCTGTATTCCTGGACAATCCTTACAAGGTCAACGCCAGTGATGCAGTCTGTTGAGAGGTGCGTCTACATTATCTTGCTGCTAATATATTCTCATGATCCCATTTTAGCTTGGACAATACATTTCTGAATAGTGTGCAGGATTTGGGTCAGCTGCAGTCATGACTATGGAAATATTTTTTGAGTCCAAAGAAGATTTCAATAATTATGAAATGCAACAGGAATTCGCCAAAAGCATGTTGAAGGACCTGGCTTTTCTTTTTTTGGAGGTTGGAAAGAAGGCTTTGGTAAGTTCAATTCACTTCTAATCTATCATCACAGTACTAATTTTTATATTATCTCTAGGAGCACCATGGTTTATTACAATCTCCTTTTATTCTTCAGACATTCACAACTCATTTAAACTCAATTGACGGTGCTATTGATGTTGAAAAACATCAGGTGGATGGAACGTACAGTAACTTTAGTAACATGGAAAAGTTCCCACCAAGAGGAGCCTTAGCTATGTTCGCTGCTGCAGTATGTTTATTTTATTTTATTTATTTTGTCACTAACTTCTTCCTAGGTTGAGCATGTGTTCACTTTGTGGGAAAATAGAGAAATACTGTGGGAACCAAAGGATCAGATCACTGAGACTCGGATGGACGAGGCAGTAAACTTGAAGCTGTATGCCAAGCCATTGCCAAAGCTCAATAAGTCAACTGGCAAGGAGACTGCCACACACAATAGATTTTTGGACATGAACTGGGGATCAACAACCCGCAAGTACTATAATTCCACCAAGTCCCTCAAGGTTTCCTCACTAGAAGAGATTACCCACAAGGCCTTGGTGTTTACTAAACGGAACACTGAGTTCACCAAGGACACTCACACCAACCCTCATGAATGCTTGGTGAACATCTAAGCAAGGTTTTCCTCTCCTATTAATTACATACATTTCTATCTTATTTACTGGCCATCTGCCGCTTTTGTGCTGATAACCCTTGTCATGCTCTGCTTATTGCTCTTATTTTTACTTTAATGGACCTGTAAATTTGTGATATCGAAGTCTTAGACGTGTCTTAAAAATGTTTTTGAATTTGTTGACAAAACCAGATAAACCCGGTCACTGCTAAAGCAGCCATTGTCACCATTGTTCTCCTAGGAGTCATTATACTGTAGCAAGTAGCACCTCTGACTATAAGTAGTAGGGGGTTTAGTATAGGAATACCTCAGTCGTTTCTATAGCCTCTCTGGCAGCGGCTGAGGTATGTTACATTACATTTATTAGAGATCACCTTAAACTAACATCTGTTGTAATTTCACTTAGGTAAATAATAAGTTGTTTCTACAGCCTCTTGGGCAGCGGCTGAGTTTCACTTAGATTTATTATTTATTTCCAAGTGTGACAATATATTCTAAGAATTTTTCAAGACGGCGGGTCAGCTTAGTCCTGCTTTTTCATGGATTAATGTTCTTGTCTTAATTTGCCTTATTCGTGGTCATTAAGGCGTATAATACATAGTAAGGAATTTTACATTTTACTGATGATCCTGACAAGAGACAGTCTTTTAGATACATTGTCATCTACTAAGGTGCAGGAACCTCTTTAAAGAGCTGTCAAGGGTGTACTTTTTATCACAACACAATGGGATCTGCACCCGTGTACAGTGATTCTGGACCTTCTGGGCATGCAACCAATCAGTATGCTTTCCAAGTACGCCTTGGTAGCTTAGTTGGTAAAGCACCAGACCATGAAAGCTGGAGTCCCAGGTTCAAGCCCTGGCCAATGCATGTTTCTCATACTATAAACAAATGTCATAATTTGTCACTTTTATACTATCAGAAAATAAGATAGAAAAAATGATAATTTAGTCATCAGTAAAGTGTCAAATTTCTTGACACACCTTGATCACACTTTACTGACTTTCAAGACTAATCAAGCATTGTAAGGGATTAAAGTTCTATCAAGCGATACAAAAAGCGAGTCAACTAACCTTCAAGTTTAATTTAGATGAGGCAAGAATATCTGGGTTGGTCTAAGCAAAATCCTTCAGACAAGTTGAGCGAAGGGTAGTTCAAGTGTAGTGTAAATACATGAGATATAAAACAAGTCCCACAAGTTACATGTCAAGTTGGCCAAGCCCGAAGGCATGACGATCAATATACTTGTTTATGTAGAATGTAGAGAATCTATCTAGCGAATTAGTAAAATCAATGTCAGATGGAATAAAGCAGTGACCATATTCACTAAACACTGGCATGAGATGTGCACTACAAAATATACAGTCCAGATGAATGATTTCAAGACTGGGTGATGCGTTGTTATTCGTATCAGGCTGGACCTTCCACATCCCAGTGAGTTCATCTGGCTCATCTAAAATATGAAAAAACCACTGTATAAGTGCACAAGGGTAAGTTGTGTTATTATGAGAGAAAGAAAGAAATGCGAAGATTTGAACAACGTCGAGTCCTCTGATTCCTGTGATTGAAGGATCACGCTCAACAAATGCATAGTCATAGTGAGCCGCACATTTTCTCCACAGAGGTGTAACTCAAATTGTTTCTCGGCGCATACCACCAACCCCACTATTATCACTTGGTGCATAAAATATGCAATGGCTGAATGTGTTGCGACTACCCTTGAGTTGAATGTGGGGCACTGATGCAGTGGTATATCGAAGGCTGAAGGTGCATCACAATCATTGATGCGTGCTTGGCTGTAGAGAAACCACCGAATCAACTCAACTAGGCGGGGCTGATTGAGCTGCAGACTGAGCTCATAACATTTGGTTGAGTATTGACGAACTAGTAGAAAAAATATATTAGTACAAGTGTGTATATGGAAGAGACTAAACATACAACGCCGAACTGACGACTGGCTGTTATTGGGCCTGGGACTGGCCCGCTATCGTTGTAATTGACATTGTCATTGTTGTTGTTGTTGTCGGGGTCTTCAATATCATAATCCAAGCCGCCAATATGTGGCTCTGAGCCTGCATTTGTGTTGACAGCTCTCGTAGCTTCATCAATAGTATTGTCGTGGTAGTTGTTTGCATAATTGAATATGCTACCTGTCAGCATGCCGCGCATTGTGAAATCTACACAAGAAGCTGCAAGTTTATCAAGTTGCTGGTTGACTAATAACATTTGGCCAAGCGCCTCATATCTACTCGAGCGGTGCCATGGTTCTTTCACAGCTGTGATTTGTCTTGATTCTGTGATTGAGGAGCAAAGGCCGTTTGGAGAGCCAAACATGCAAATGAGTAGGGGATAGTGCTGGATTGAGTGTTGCCGGGGAAGAGAGAAACCTGTTGGCCAAACACCCAGTGTCTGAAAGATAACACGGGTCCGGTGAAAATCTTTGCCTGTGTCTTGCACTTGCTGAATGCTGCTGTCACTGTAAGTATCATGCTGGACCAAGTAGAAGAAATCTAAAAAAGCACGGAATGTGCATATTATATCCGGTGGGACGTACCCTTCGATAGCGGGAAGATAGACTTTCATCAAGGCTTTTGAGTCGTCGCCAGTCCACTGCTTGAATCCACGGCCCTGTGGAAATTGTTGAAGTCCAGAAAACGATGGAGCTGCTGCAATCCTAGTGAATCATCTTAGTATATGTTACTTTGGTAATTTCAACGTAAAAAGAACCTTACCACCGGTCAATGTCATCTGAGATCTCTTCAGCATGCTTTTTGCCATATATTAGATTGAGATAATCCTCCACCCAAGTCACAAGATGATCCTTAAAGGTACCTTTAATGACTTGGTGAAGAAGGTCGGGAGCCAGGATCTCGTGGATGTCAGCACAAGGAAAATCATGGGTGAATGGCTTATGACAACAGTCAGCATGATTTTCATAAGTGAGAGAAAAAATGATGTACTACAATGTTGCTCACAATACCATATTGATCCCGTAAGACATGCAGATCAAGGAAGTCAGCAAGGACCTCTGTATGATCATAGTGTTGGCCACCTTCACCGTCGAGGTTGTTGGGTAACGCAATACAACTAAGCAGGTGAGATTAGTCTGAATATAGTCTGAATAGTGGTATAAAAAATAGATGTACTTACCGAGCACACCATCCTTGAACTATGCATGCAAGAAGAGCTTGCTCTGGATAGTCGGCAATGTATGGCCCAATACCATAAATGACATGCCTTAAGTGCATGTTGGCACAGCGTACAATCTCTGGGACTAACATCCCAGGTTTGAGACCTTGAAGAATACGTGACATTAATGTATGAAATAGCTGTCTCCAAAACCTGCAAAACTTTGGATTGTTTGCATACTTTTTATCAGCTAAATAATCCTGGCTTTAGTATATGCAAGAGAAAAAGTAAAAAATAAATGTAACATACTTTTTGGGATGGCTAGAAAGCCCAGCAACACTACAGCATTCCTATGTGCTTGCTGGACATTGTTATGAACATTTCCCACTGAAATATACAGTGAATAATACTTGTTTTGGCCTGTTGCAACAGAAACCGTGGTCTTATTGCTGCCTAGAATGACTGGCACAAATAATGAGCCATGAGTTGTTGGATCAGTGGAAATCTTGTCTGCCTGCTTCTAGGCCCATTTGCCTGACATGAAGTCTTTGTATTCTCGCTCTCCCTTGGCAAACAAGTTAATATGTTGTTGCAAGGACAAACAGTGGATGTTAATGCTGTAACTGTCAAGCAAAAATTTAACAAGAAAGTCAAGATTGTTGCTGACCCCGGCGCTTTCAAGGGAGACCGGGCTAAATTTGCTGAATGGTGGATTAAGCTCTAAATCTGGATCAAGGTGAAATGGAACATGTTTGCTGATGATTTCAAAATTGCAACAACTGTGCTGTCTTGACTAAAAGGACCTGCAACGGGTTAATACACCCAAGTTATACTCCAGCTCCAGAAATGCTATACCACTGGTCACTGGCCCACCTGGAACAATATCAAGGCAGAGATCAAAAAATATCTCAAGCTACAAGCTGAGCGTGATTGGGCACATCAGCGAATCTGTTCCTTTAAACAACGAAATATGAGGAGGGATGATTTTATAACCTGGTTCCTGGCCCTCTCTATCCAAAAGGGTCTTGGAAATGAACATGCAGTGGAGCTGCTGGAATGCAATGGGAACCCCCACATTGCAGAACAGCTCTACAGACAGGATATGAGGAGTGAGAACCTCTTAGCAGCTGCTGAAGAGGTTCACAAGATTGGTAGGGCCATAGAGCTCTACAAAATGCAATTTGGTGGCGGGACCACCACCAAAAACAACTATTCCACCCATTCCCAACAAAAGATGTTGAGCCCATGTTATGTTGTACAGAATATATGATGTTATTCTTGATTATGTTGTTGCTTGGATCATTCAGATGAGGCTGCCACAAAACCTCAAGCTCAAAAAATCTTTACAGCCAAGAGCCTCTTCCCAGTGTCTCCGGAAATCACTGAAGAGTGTTGAGATAACAAAATGAATGGAAAATAAAGGGAAATGGCATTGGGAGGACATACAGGGAAGAAGACCATCATAGCAATAAAACCCCGGTTTCATGATACAATAACATCACTGTAAATATCCAAAGGGGTATCGGGGAGGAAATAGGAATTCTGTAAGCGTAGCTCATGAAGGAGCATGACATTATACTAATTATGGCATCATCATGGACAGTTGGAATACTATACTACACATATATAACCTGTCACTCGACATATGGTACAGTAGACTAGTTTCTCCCTACCTTCAATCATATTTTGATTCCACTTCTTTGGTTTCCCCCCTTGAAGTGTTGTCCACCGCTAGTGGGCTTCCACTTTTTTTGAATTGCCGATCAAGATCACAATCCGTCAAACTGTCCCGCCACCCGTCACTACCCGTGTCTCTCACAACAAGGAGCCATTCCCAACCCAAACTGCCAACAACCAGTAAAACCATACCTGATTCTGATTCTGATTCCTCATCAGATTACTCAAGACCATCCCCTTCATTATCAACTATGAGTCACATCTGCAAGGATGCAACAGTGGATAATAATGTTGGTAGCAGACCACCCAGACTCACTGAAGGTGATCTCGACCCCAGAGTAATTATGCCTGGGAAGACGCCTGCAGATTATATTTCACACACAAAAACATTACCAACGCAGACCAAGTACTGAAAGTCAGTCATGCCCTTGCCGATTCATGTTTACAAGATTGGTTCCGTCTTCATAAAATCTGTTCCATATCTCTCATATTCAATCAATTCCTCTATGAGCTCCGCACCAGGTGGCTTCAACCAGAATGGGATGCTATGCTTAAAAGAAAATTTCTTAATTCCTCACAGGGATCATCACATTTCTACGCATGGGCATTGAATGCCAAACTCAGAATTCATTACTCTGTGACACTCTATTTCACTTATCCAACATCCATATTAAGCACCAACTCAAGGCACACATGAATGACGATCTCACCTACCTTTGTCGCCGCGGAAAAATAAATGCAAAACCAGATCTTCTGATGTGGATTGACACTGTAAGGGAGCTCAAACACGGCAGATTACAGGATATTGCTCATCAAAAAGAAATTGCACTAGAAGTATTACAAGAGAATCAAGGCTCTCACTCCAAGGCTACTTCCAATTGTAAGTGCTGTAGGGTTGACTTAGACGCTGGCACAGTAATCCTTTTATTTCCCAACATATCAATCCAGTTCTACAACAAACCATGCATCAATACGCAACAGTCTGCAGAGTCCATGTTTGCGGATACATAGAGTCCGCGTTTGCGGACATATAGGGTCCGCACTTTTCGGACTTTGGACCCGTTGGACGAGGAGCTAACTCAACACTCCATGCATGTGCAAGACTCCACATGAACTCCAGAGCATTACGACTGTCCACGGATCAACTACCCCTTTCCTTTTATGGAATATAGGAGTTGTCCCTCATGGTATGGAACTGTCTGGACGTCGGACTAGCAGGATATGACCCGCTTTTTCTTACATTTTCATATGGACACTTTCTAATGTTTATCCTTCATTTCTCCCATTGGTTCTCATGTGTTTTACACTATTTTTGCTGTTGCCTTTTGGTACTGCTATAAAACTGTACTTCCAAAAGGAAGGAATACTATCTTTTGATCCCCCATATACTCAGAATTTGTCTGAATAAGTCGCCATAGTCACTTCAGAATTGTTGTAGACGTCCCACAGCCATATTACCAAAATTTCCAACAAAGCACTGAGCTTGTTGTGACGCTCTGCTTGTATAGACCCAAAACGCGGACTCTCAGGAGTCATTCCAGTGTTGTATTCTCCATTCTATATTCATCCTCAGCTCATATTATCACTCCCACATTCATATTATTGCCTTTCCAGCAAGATCACAACTTGCTGTGACGTATCCACTCCGTTTAGACTTAAAAGTGCGGACTCTGCAAACTGACCTGCGGACCTGTGGACTTATTTGCAAACCTGCGGACTCACCTGCGGACCCACTCCATTGTAGTCTTCAGCACTTTCTTCTGGATCTCTTGGTTGATCCCTGTGGGTTGAACAACACATAGGTGTTTGGACGTAAGGACTATACTCAGTTCTCTCCCAGACACCTTTAGCAACTTACAGTGTTCCATTAGATTTAATGCTTTTGAGAGATATGTGATAGGTTTCTATATGCCATCTTGTTGTTGTGATAGTACTGCTCCCATGGCAAAGTCACTACTATCTGCTTCTACTTTGTACTTCCCGTCATTAGCTGGTAAGGTGAGGACTGGGGTGGAGCTGACTCTGTGTTTGAGTTCTTTGAATGCTGTTAATTGCTCCGGTCCCCATGTAAACTCTTCTTTTTCAGTCAATTTGGTCAGTGGTTTAGCGATTAACCTAAACCATTCTATGAAGCATCTATAGAAAGCCTAAGAATGCTTGTACTTTCTTTTTTGATTTTCATTCTGGCCAGCCTAGAATCCCTTTTACTTTGATTGGGTCCATGCAGATTTTATTTTGTGATATCATTAGACCAAGGTATTCTACCGAGGTTTCTTTAAAATCACATTTTTTCGGTTTCAAGTATAAATGATTCTTTTGTAATATTTCAAGTACTTGGCACGTCATTGCCCAATGTTCCTTGATAGCTGTTGTAAAAATCATGATGCCGTCAAGGTATATTACAACCTTTCCTTCATCCATCAGATCTTTAAACAGCACATTCATCATTTTTTGGAAGGTCACTGGTGAATTCCTTAGACTGAAGAATATTACTAATGGTTCATACAGCCCTCTATTTGTTCTGAAAGCTGCTTTCTCTTTGTCTCCTTCCCCAATTCAAATGTTGTTGTACCCCCATTGTATATCTAACTTTGTGAAGTATTTGGCTCCACATAATTTATCCACTACTTTGTTTATCAGTGGTAGTGGGTGTTACGATAACACAATTTCCGGACATCTCCTTTCTCTTTTATTCTCCGCTTTAACTTTATACTTTAATTGCCACGCGGCACTTCCCTTTCTCGCGCCGCATTGCCTTCCTTTTATTTTTAGACTTAACTCTCTCACGCAGTGGAGCTGGCCATACGGGCTAGGCCCTATGACATCATCCGGCCACTGCCTTCATCAACTGTATAGTACACATGTACAAACAACCTGTAGTAGTATATATACCCCAATAGATCCAGGAGACTCCTCAGCGAGTCCTCCTGTTGTATACCAACTAACTCACTGCAGCTCAAGGGGTAACCACTCCCCAAACTTCATCTTCACTTTAGTGTGTTCTGTGTGCGCCAGAGTAGATCACTACTGGTTGTTACAGTGGGTATCAATTTTTGATGGTGATATCATTTAGTTTTTGGTAGTCTTGTACTGGTCTGAGTTTTCCGTCTTTCTTTTTTACAAAGAAGAATAGTGAAGCAAGTGGAGATTTAGATGGGCATATCCTGCCTGATTCTGAATTTTCTTTGATGAACTCATCCAGTTGTTCCTGCTCACCTAACGCTAAGGGATACACTTTGCAATCTAATTTGTGTTCCCCTGGGATCAGTTCTATGGTATGATCCCATTTGCGTCTTTCTGGCAGTGCATCAAAACTCTCTTTATTGAATATGTCTTTGTAATTGTGGAGATATTTTGGGACTATCTTATTGAAACCTCCTTCCTTTCAATCTTTCCCAGCGGCTTCAGCAAGCTTTTGTGCAGTTGTGCCTGTAGCTTTTATCTGGTAAAGATGTTCCAGAATTTTGGTCTCTTCATAATTAAATAGGTCTACCTGGATCAGCTGATCCCCTTCTGGGAAGTCTAACACACTATAGAGAAGATAAAGAGGGAGTGGCTACCCCTTGGGATGCAGAGAGTTAGTTGGTATACAACAGAAGGACTCGCTGAGGAGTCTCCTGGATCTATTGGGGTATATATACTACTACAGGGTTATTTGTACATATGTACTATACAGTTAATTGTGGCAGTGGCTGATGATGTCATGGGGCCTAGCTGGCATGGCCAGCTCCACTGTGTGAGAGAGTTGTGTTCAAAAATAAGAAGAAAGGCAGCACAGCGCGAGAAAGGGGAAGTGCTGCCTGGCACCATGTATGAAAGCTATAGTACAAGGTTAAAGCGGAGAATAAAAGTAAAGGGAAGGTCCAAAATTGTGTTATTGTAACACTACCCCCCTTCTAAGGCTCGACTTCCAGGCAAGACCAAATACCGGAGGTAGTGGTAAAATGTTCGGGCATAGGTTAAAAAAAAGAATTAATAAGATTTGAATCCATGCCTCTGAGCTTCCTAGGAGCTGAGGGGTTCTTAGAATAAAATTTGCAAACAGCGTTGCGGGAATTGTCCAGATAGGCTCTTGGTTCCCACGTTCTGTCCTTGTCTTCATAGCCCAACCATAGGACTAGAAACTCTAATTTACCACGCTTCAAGCGTGCATCCACTACTTGTTCTGTTCGACTTTGAACTCTTCTTCACCTTCTTGGGTGACTACAACCGGTCCGGGCCGGTCTACACGCTATCCAGGCAGCGGCCCTTTGTAGGGTTTCACACGGCTTATATTGACCGTGGGTACTACCCTCATCCGTTTTGGGAGTTCCAGCTCCACCGCATTGGGTTTGACTTCCTTAATCTGGTAAGGGCCAATCCATTTTTTGGTCAGTTTTCTAGACTGCCGATCTTTCAATTTTAAGTGGTCGGTATCTAACCAGACCAGGTTGCCGACCTTGTAGTCAGGGGCCTTAGAGCGTCTATGCTCTGCCCTGTCTTTCATCTGCTCTGCAGTTTGAAATAACGCCTTGCGCGTTTCGTCTAAGACAGCCTTTATGTCCTTGGCCATGTTCCCAGCAGCCTTGTTCTTGCTTTTACCAGGTTCTACCCCTATTCTGGGGAGGTACAATCTAGTAACCTCGAATGGTGCCTTTCCTGTAGCCAACGACTGTTTAATATTATATGAGAACTGGGCTATGTTTAGCCACTTGGCCCAATCCGTCTGTCTGTCATTAATAAATATATGGAGATATTGCTTCAACTCCTGGTTGAGTCTCTCCGTTTGTCCATCGGTTTGCAGA